ATCAGAGCAGGCACTCAACTGCCCCCAGCACACCCCTTCCTGGGCACTGTGTTCTGATCTGGCACGTCTGCCTCCCCCCATGCCTTCCTCTTCTCTAGCTCTGTGCCTGCTGCTGTGTTCTGCAGATATCTGGGGTCCAGAATACGGGTGAAGTGGGAACCTGGGATTGGGTCAGGTTTGGACTGCTGCGGAGAACTCAGGGGCTTGCCTGATGGCCTGTGGGTGAGGTGAATTAGCACCCTTCTGAGGTGCGGGACTTTGTCCTTTGCCTTGCTCCCTGGGAATGGCTCTTAGGCATCCCAAGAAGGCCTTCCTCCAGGGATCCCCTGCCCAAAGTCTCATCTCTGGAAGTTCTGCTCCTTGGAGTTGTCCCTGGAGAGTTACACAGAAGGCTGCAGACCCTGGGACTCATTCCTGAAGCCTATGTCTAGCTGGAGATGCTTTTTTCCTGTCCCTCAGGGTTTCCTCATAGAGAACAAGCTGCTGAGCCTGCTCCTTCCCCTGGAGAAGAGCGAGTGCTACCTGCTGAGGCTGGATGCCATCTTCTCAGTGAGTCCCACGGGGCTGAGAGGACGGGGCGGGGGCGAAGCCTGCCTCATCCTAAGGTGTTTCCTCGACATTGCCTCTGCCCTGGGAGTGGATGCGGCTCTCCAGGGCTTCCCTGGGTTCACTGTCACATCCTTCCCTTAACTTACTCTCCCCCTAGCAAGTTGGTCTCGGAGTCATTCAAGTGTCTCGCACCCTGCCCCTTCCTCTACTGGCTTCTCTCTCTCAAGGCCCAGCTCTCGGAGTGTAGGCTCTTCCCCACACCCCCAAGCTCAGATCTGTGTTCACCCCTCTTTAGCATTCTCACGCCCACCAGATCTGTCAGGAGCTGGTGCCGACACTGTGAGCATTGTTTCTCCCTGTGCTGATTTGTGTGTCTCCAGTTTCACTGTAGTTTCTCAGTGCTGGACGAATGCCCTCTGCGCTGGCCATGACAGGCACCTGGGAGGCTGAGTGGAGCAAGCCAAGCCTCCTGCTCTTAGGAGCTGAGATCTGTTAAGACCTCAAGCCCGTGGCCTCTCTGATGGGGAGTTTGAGCAGCCATCCTATTTTTCCCCAGGCCCTTGGAATTGAAAGTGAGGATGACTTGTATAAACTGGTGAACTTCTTCCTTAAATACCGAGCTCATCTTTCATCCTCCAGCCAGGTAAGGTGAGGTGCAGGTAAAAAGAGGGCGTTGTCAGTTCTCTTGGAAGCCCCCAGAGGGTATTGTTGCCTTTGAGTAATACTTGTGGAGAAATAATGGAGGGCTTTATGCAGGAAAAACTGACTTAGTATTTCCCTTATTATTATTATTTTTTTCTATTTGCAAAGGGAAGAATGGCTGGGGGTGAGATGCTGTTCTCATACTGAGGCCCAAGGGAACTTTTCCTGGGGACTCCCTCAAAGCCAGGCCTCAGCCATCGTGAGACCTAGCCTACCAAGTTCTACACATTTTGATCCTTAACACTTTCCTGTAAAGCAGGGCCCATTTGTAATACAAATATTGATTGTACCTGATTTCAGTAGGAGAGTCAAATATCAATTATTCTGAAGAAGTCATATTAAAAATGTTATAATATTTTAATTTAAAAATTTAAATTTAAAAAGTGTTTTGAGTATTGCTAGCCCCAGTGTGAGTATCCCAATATGCCTCCAAAAAGAGTCGGCTGAGTGGACAAAACTAAGAAGCCATAGATCGAAAAAAAAGAAAAAAAAAGATATTTGACTATATTAAAACAAATTCTGTAGGGCAAAAATCATTATAAGAAAAGTTAAGAGAAAAATGTCAAGCTAAGGAAGAGTATTTTCAACTCATACAACAGCTAGTGACTAGTTTCCTTAACATATAAAGAGCTCCTATAAACCAATGAGAAAAAGACCAAGAACTCAGTGGAACAGATAACAGATATGAACAAACACCTCTTAGAAGAGGCAATACAGATAACTTTTAAACATATGAAACGATCATCAGGCTTTCTTTTAATAAGAGAAATGCAAAGTAACAGTGCCCAAATTCCATTTTTCACCTGTCAGGTTGGCAAAATCTGAACGTCTGATAACAAATAATGATACTGAAGTGTGGGAAACAGGCACATTCTCACATGGCTTGTAGGAGTGTAAATTGTTGGAACCTCCACTGAGAACAATTTGGCAATATCAATTACGAAGTGGTGTATACTATACTCTGCAACTCCTCTTCTAAGATTATATTTTGTAGATATATCTCAATATATTCGAAATGATGTGTTTATTGTAGTGTATTTATTGTAGCATTGTTTGAAATGGCAGAAGATTGGAAGCAACTTAAATGTCCATCATTAAGGAATTTATTTAATAATACATGGTACATCTACACAATGGGATACTATGCAAGTGGGGAAAAAAAACAAACAGCAAAGAACAAAGAAGTTCTTTATATGAAAAAATCTAAGGTTTATTGGTGTGTGAAAAAAGCAAAATGCAGAACTATGTGTATAGTATAGTTCTTTATATGAAAAAATCTAAGGTTTATTGGTGTGTGAAAAAAGCAAAATGCAGAACTAAGGGGAGTATTTGTAAAAATGGGAAGGAAAATATACGTGTTTATATATGTATTTGCTTATATAGACATAATATTTCTTTGGAAGGTTACATAAGAAACTTGGTAACATTAGTTTGCCTGTGAGAGGTCAGTTAAATGAACTGTTAGACAGGAATAGGAGGAAGACTTTTTTAATTTAAAAATTAAAACAAAATTTAATTTGTATTATGATTCAAAAGGATATTTTTAACATGCCAGCTTTATGCATATTAATAAAATGAACACCTGTGCAGGTGACTTTAGAAATAGAACATTATCAAAAAAAAAAAAAAGAAAGAAATAGAACATTATCACTGTTTTGAAGCCCCCTCTGTGCCTCTCCCCAACCCATCCCCGCTGTTCCCACTTCTGCTGCTCACTATTTCTGTCCTGGTGTCAGTGTCTCCCTCTGCAAGTTTTCTGTAACTTTCTGTAAATGCGTCTCTGTGTTTTTCTCTTCCTGTCTCTCTTCACACACTCCTGCTTGTAATATCCCCATCCCACAGTTGCCCCCACACCTTTCCCCAGATCACCACCGGGAATCCAGCCACCATGGAGAAGACAAGCTTGGTGTTGGCGTTGGAGATGGCAGAACAGACAGAGCTGGAGGGAGGAAAGGAGGAAAGCCTCGTGGATGGGGAGCCGGAGGAGGAGGGGGAGCCGGAGGAGAAGGTGGAGCAGGAAAAAGAGATCCCACCTTCTCCTAGGCTCATCCACCCCAATGACGTCCTCAAGATTCTGGAGGCCTTTGTCAAGGGTCTGAAGAAGCCCAGGTGGGCGGTGGTGCCAGAGGGCTGGCCTGAGCCCTGGGGGGCTGATGGGCTGGGGAGCCAAGCAGATGCTAGCAAGTGGAAGAAGCTGCTGAGCAAGGATTTAGGGGAGCGAGTAAATACATTCTAAGCAGGGCTAGAGGAGTTGTTGGGCGTATTCATGAAAGAAATGGGGTGCAGTAGTGATTTGTGCTTTCTTTGTTCATCATTCATCATTCAACAAACATTTATTGAGGTCTGCCATGTGTAGGCACCGTGGGGATGATACCTTGTGACCAGAGCAATGGTCAGAGCATATACAAGGTGTCAGGTTTGTCAGAGGAGGAAGTGGTCATCTCCATTTGGCCTGTCAGAGAGGGTTTTGGGAGGAGATGGGACTGGAACTTGGTGTCCCTAGGTGGGTGAAGTGGGGGAAAGGGCTGGAACAGCACAGGGAAAGGACTGGTATGTTCAAGAACCATGACAGGGAGGTATGGCTGGAGTGTCAAGGGTCTGGGAGGTGGGACTGGCAGGTAAGGAGCTAGGCCAGATCTTGGAGAGCCTTGCCCATTGTGTCTAAGGTCTTTGTCTTTACTCCTTGGTGGACTGGAGCCAGAAAAGGATTTTAAGCGGTGGGGAGCCATGATTAGACTTGCATTTTAGAGAGATCACTTTGATGGTAGGGAGGGGAGTGATGCTGGATACAGAGAGTCAGGAGGATTGTCCAGGTGGGAGGTGATGATGCCCTGGATTAAAACCTTCATAGAGGGGGCAGAGAGGAGGTGACAAGACTTGAGAGCTATTTTGAATGCACTAGTGGAAGAAATGGGCATAGCACTGAGCTATAAAGCCAGTGAGGTAAACTGGCTGGGAGAAAGAGAGGGTGGATGAATTGTCAACGATGCTATCATGAAGGTGGCAATGGCACCGAGAGTCAGGGACACTGACAATAAGCATGTGCCCTTTCTGAAAACCTGCCATAATCTGATAACACTTGAGCAGCTGAGTGGAAAGATGACAGGTGGAAAAGCAACAAGTCTGTGACTGACCTCAGGTGCTGTGACTGGCACTGCTTGGGGGCCTGGGTGGTGCCAGGTGGAGATGATGGTGCCAGTGCTCTTGACCTCCAGGGACTTTCGGGCACCACTGAGAGTGCTGAAGGGCGTGCGAGATGACTCAAAGGACTCTGAGTACTGGAAGGCCCTGACCACGGTTATCCCCTCTGCCAGGCAGAGCCTCTGGGATGCTCTCTACACAGCCTTGGAGAAATACCAGTAAGTGTATGTGCCGTGGCCCAGGAGAGGGAGGGAGCCAGGCAGGTGGGTGAGGAATGATTGCTTGGAATAGCCACATTTGCCCCTCCCTGTCCCACAAAGTCTTGGAGAGAAAAGCTGCTTTGGCAACTCCTGTTGGGAGGTGGCTTGTGTTGCTCTGGAGGCCCTTTTCTGTTCCTGCCACCCTGGCTTATCTGGTGCCTGGGTGAAAGGTGAGGCTTCTAGGGTTTTCCTGCACCTCCAGCCAGAGCAGAAACACAGAGAGCCTGGCCCCTGCTTGACAGAGAATGGGTGACTGAGTGGGCCTCTAACCCACTTTCCTGCCCAAAGCCATGTCCTGACCCAGAGGGCCAATCTGCTGATGGAAAACGAGTCTCTGGAGCAGCAGAACACAGAGCTCCAGATGCTGCTTCAGCAGTATCTGGCCTCCAAGGTGAGTGATGGGACCCCCTAAGGAAGGGAGACAGGGAAGGGGTCCAGGGGACCTAGAGCTGACATAGGAAGTGAGGAGTCCTCTCCCTCACCAGGGACAAAGGAGCTTTGAGATGTAAGAAATCAACAATCACATGGCAAGTTGAGACAGTCACTGGGCAAGGGAGCAGATATTGCCCAAAGTCTCCTCCAGGGCAGCTATGTGTGACTGGGCTCTTTCCACTGCCAGCCCAGCTTCTCTGGCCGGTGATATGACTGAGTGTCATCTTGCATAGGGAGAGGAGGTTGTGCTGGGGTGCATACTCCCTGGCCCCCATTCGTGTCTCTCCAGCAATAGTTGTGGAACCCTTGCCAGGGCCTGGCAAGAGGAGAATGGACAAAGTCCTTTCGTAACAGTGGCTTGCTCTGCTCTTCTGGTGTGGGATCCTTCAGGTGATGCTGGGGCCATGGGCCAGGAGGGTCAGGACACCAGCTGCGTGGGTGTGTGGCCCCAGAAGGGTGTTGGGTCCCAAGCCACACCTGGAAGGGGAGTATGGTGAGCCTCAGCATCACGATGGCCTCTTGGCCTGTGACAAGACTCAGACATTTGGGGGCCATGTGGTCCATGCTTGCACAGATACTACTGGGTACAAGAGGACGGGGGAGGAGAGGTGAGGGCAGGGCTCGATGGGGATGGAGTGGGCAGGTGAAGGGGGGCGAGGGAGGATTAAGAGAAAGGGTCAGAGGGGAAGATCAAGAATGTTACCAGAGGTGACCAGCTGGATGGAACAGGAGCTAAGGAAGCAGCGCAGACCTGACTTCTGAAGAAAGGCAGACTGTGGGCTTCCAAGGCATCTCCAGCTTTGGAGAGAAATGCTCGCAGGGAGGGGAGGCCCGCGGGAGAGCGAATGTGAACACCTGACCCTGCAGAGGTCAGGAAGGAGGCCCCAGGGGAAAACCTAACGACCTTCACTCTTTTGTTTCCAGATAAACTCTGAACTGCAAGTTCCTCCAACTCAGGTGTTCCGGGTCCCCACAAAACAGAGCCGGACCCTAGAAAGCTGATGTGTTGACACTGACGCTGGTGCTAGAACTGGCACCTGTCACAATGAGGCAGTATCCTGCAGTAATGATGAACCTGTATCCTGAAGTTGTGATTAAAGTCTTTTAAAAGTTGTGGCTGAATCTCTTTAATGAGGTCAGGCTGCAAGGCGCTTGCGGGGTTTTAAGCCTTCAAACTGTGCTCAAGCCTGATGGACTCTTTCAGTGTTTTTGACACCCCTGGGTCCCCCTGGTGTGCCTTCTGGGCTGTGGTGTGAGGTCCCTCCTGTGGGCAGCCTGGGCAGGAGAGCTGTGCCTGAGGCTCACCTTGGCCACGAGAGGCCATCCAAAGCCACAGGGACCTGCTGGGACTGAGGTTAACCACCTAGGGTGCCCGCTGGCTCTACGTCCCCATGCCAGTGGCTCTGCCCTCTGTTGACCCGTGCAGACTTGTCAGCCCAGTGTTTGATTTCTTTTATTAGGAGAAAACTCAACACTCAAGAAAAGGAAAACAGCCAACAGAAACCCAGATGCAGGCAGGGGCAGCACTTGAAGTGCAAATTCCTGGCTGCAGCTGAAGGGAAAGGAAGGGTGGGGTCTGCAGGGGCGGGGAGGGCAGGGAGTGTCAGAAGGGTGGGCAGGGGTACGGGGGTTCACTTTCACTGCTCCTCGCTGGGCTCGCCAGCACTAGCCTGGGCAGAGGGAGCTCTGAGACGTGAGAGAAATCCACAGGCAGGACAGGACTGGGCTTGTGCACCTGCGCGGAGGCGGCCGCCTGGGAAGGAGCAGCCGAGCTGAGCGGTGGCCAGGACGGGTGGGTGGGCTCTGGGCCACTGTGTGGGAAAGCCTGCTGGTGGCGGCTCTCCTCGTAAGATTCTGTTTTCAGGGGATAGGGTGATGATGCCTTTTGCTCGTTCATTCTTTTTAAAGCCCTGGGCGCTGGGCTGTGATCCTTGGTTAATTTCATTAAAGCTTTAATCCTAGACCTGGAAGGCCTGGGGGAAGGTTTGGGGCAGCTTCATCAGGAGCCAAGGCCTGAAGAAGAGGGGAGCAAGAGGGGATCTGCTTCAGGTCTCCCCCACCCCTTCCCACACTCCCCACCCACAGGCAGGGATCGGAGGGGCAGGACTAGGCAGGCAGTTTGGGGGTGTGAGCAGGAGGCAGGCTCCTGGGGCCCGAGGCTCCAAGGGTGGACCTCAGGCTCCTCAGGCTTCCCAGGAGAGATGGAAAAGAGTCCAAGCCACAGGAAGGGCAAATGCAGCAGTCCAGGGGGGAGGTGGCAGCAGGTGGTGGGCCCTCAGGCCCCGAGGAGCTTCTTGACCATGTAGCCGGGCAGGCTGTAGAGGAAGAGGGCCAGCATGAGCAGCCCCAGCAGCGCCAGCACGACCTTGATGATGAGCCACTTGTACCGCGTGCAGATGAGGTACTTGATGGACTTGAGAGGGTTGAGGAACCACACGAAGGCCGTGTCGGGCCGGCTGGGGAGTGGAGTGCAGGAGCTGGTCAGACACGGTGGGCAGGAGCTGCCTCCCAGGGCACCTCATCCCTCTGTCCTTCCAGACCCCAAAAGGCCCTGTCATGGCCCCAGGCCCCAAACCGGAGGGTGCGGGAGCCAGGGCTAGAGCCCATTTTGAAACACGAGGTTTGCTGCTTACAAAACCCTGTCCTCTCTGCAAGACCTTTAGTACCCCAATCTCCTTCCAAGGCCTGGACGGTGTTTTTGGCAGGGAGCAGCCATCCAGCCTCTACCAGACACATGCAGCAGTGGGCAGCTCACTTCTCGAAGAGGCCGTGTGGCACTGCAGGCAGTTCTAGCCATTAAGAGAGCTCCTGCATTCAGCAGTTCATTGAACCTGACTCATGATGGTTTGACTCAATGATTTTTTGACTTTACGACAGGTTTGTTGGGATGCAAGTTGTAAGTCAAGGAGCATCTGTATATGGTTCAGTGTTGCCCCACGTTCTCTGTGAGGTCAGTGCTTCTTGACCTCTTCCTTTCTGATGAACATAAACTTCTGTCCCCACCAGGCCCTACGAAGGGTCTGAGCAGCCCCCATGAGGCTCAGGCCACCCCCACTGGCCTGCCCACCATCAGGGTATGGGTCTCTCTGCCTTCTGCATAGCCTCCTAGCCAGAAGCACTCGATGAGCTTTACTATCTGTTGTTTGTGTTACAAAAACAATAGGTTTCATAAAACATCATGCTGTGAAATTAAAGTATTGAATATGCTTTTTGAAACTACTAACCCACCAACTCGTGCAGGCCACGGACGGCAGCCCAGGGCTGAGCTCAGTATAAGTGGGGCCACAGTGCAGGGGTGTGGGCGTGGGGCACCTCGTTTCGAATCCCAGCTGTGATGGGCAAGTTTGGCACCTGTCAGCCTCAGTTTCTTCATTTGTAAAAAGGGGGTCATGGTAGTACCTACCTCCTGGGCTGGTGAGATGTGAGTGAGACAGTGCGTGAAGCTCTGAGCACGGGAAGAGGGTGCTCAGGAGCTGTGGTTACTGAATGTCTGAATTGAATGGAACTGTATCTCGCAGGGCAGGAAACAGCTGTGGGTTGGGAGGTTGCACACCGGTAGGACCTACTGCAGGACTTGCTGGCTAATCCTGCCAAACCTTTGCCCCTTTCTTCACCCATATCTCAGCGTTTTCCTACCAGTGAAATTGGGTTAGAGTCTGTGAGGAATGTTGCTGGGAGAGGAGATGGCGTAGTGCAGAGAACACTGGACTGGTGATTCCAAAACCTAGGCTTGAAACCTAGGCTCGCGTCCCAGCTCTACCTGAATTTGCTGGGTGACCTTGGGTGAACTACTTCACCTCTCTGGCCTGATATGGAAAAACAGAAAATAGTTATTTCTATTTCTGAGCATTTTTTGAGAGGTTGAAAACTGCTGTGTCTGTTTGTATGTGCATTAGTGTGCTTGTGTGCATATGTGTGCTTGTGTGTTTGTGCCCGTGTGTGCATTTGCATGTGTGCCTGTATATGTGCTTGTGTGCGCATGGGCATGTGTATATTCCCCATACTACCCCGTTTTTTGTTCAGAGGAAGAAGGGAGAAGTATCAGACCCAGGAGGCTGCTGGGCTCAGGCCCCAAGGATCTTCTTGACCAGGTAGCCAGGCACAGAGTAGAGAAACAGGGCGAGGAGGAGCAGCAGCAGCAGGAGCAGCAGCAGTTTGAGGAGCAGCCAGCGATACGTGTGCCACAAGAAGTAGCGTGCAGACTTGAGAGGGTTCAAGAACCAGATGAAGCTCGTGTCAGGCCGGCTGGAGCATTGAGAACAGCAGAGGGAGCACAGAGAAAGGACAGGGAGGATGAGGGGTTGGGGTGTGGCAAGGGGCCTCGGCCAGGAGGGAAGCCGACCTGGGCTGAGTGTATGGAGTTCTGGGTGCCTTCCCGGCCATCAAGGCTGGCTAAACCCCAAATGCCACCATTGGAGCTGCTTGACATTGGCAAAATCTAGGAAGAGCATTTATCTCTGCTATGTAGGGCCTTTCCTGGGAGAGGCACTCTTCTCTATACTGATGGCCCATTCTCTGGTACAGAGGGTGGTGGGGGGATCCAGGGGAAAGGAGGAAGGAGCAGAGGCCCCCCTGCAATGGGGCTGTGGTCCAGAAAAGAACAGAGCGTGTCTGGGGAGTGGGGGCAAGAGGACTGGAAAGTTCTGGACTCTCCTTCCCGATCCAGTGCCACCAAGAGCCAGCATGGCAGGGGGGCTGGGCAGGCAGGGCACTCACTTGGGTTTCTCTAGGGGGTCTGGTTCATTGCGGGCCAGGCCCACTGGATTCTTCTCTGCCTCCTCTGCTGTCAGTAAATGCAACTCAGCCTCCACCTTGCCCTACAGAGGAAAGAAAGGTCCCATTGCTCGGGCCAGGTGCTGAGCCCTCGGTACCCCAGCCTGGCCCAGCCCTGCCCACTGCCCAAGGAGGAGATGGTGCCCACCGTGAGCTCAAACTCATCATTCTCATTGCGGGCCAGGAGGGGCCACCAGCCTTTGACGCGCTTCTGCTTGAAGATGGAAACCAAGGGCACGTCCACCTCCCCGGTAGCCATCTCCATAGTGCACTGCTTGGCTGTCTTCGCACCCCGTGGGAACCGGTTCAGGTCCAGCTCGATGGCCCCTGCAGCAACCGCAGAGTCAGCTCTGGGGAATGCAGCAAGGCTGAGGCTATGGCCTCCTTGGCCCCTTTCTGCTGACTGCAGACTGCAGACTGCCCCCAGTCCACATCTCAACCCGCTGCCCCATCGTCCAGCTCATTGGTCTCAATGGAAGGCTTCACTGTCTCTCTGAGCAACCCCACCTCCTACGCTTTGCTCAGGCCCTTGTTTCAGCCTGGGGGCTCTCTCTTGGTGTCTGCCACTCCCGTCCCCCTGCCCTGCCCCACGTGCATTTACTCTGTCAAAGTCCTACTAATTTAGAGGGAAATCTTGCTTTACAGAGGAGCAACCTGATGCCCAGAGAAGTTTCCTGACTCCCTTAGGGAGTCTCAATGATCCCCAGCATTTACTCTCCCCACCTTGGTGCGTCCAAAGCATCTTGTCAGCCCTGGTTAGGACACAGGACATCTGCCCTGGGTGTGGTTAGGTGTGTCCTGGGTGGCAGGAACCTGACACTCCTGGCTCTGACTGACAGGGTGATTGACCCCCCCCCCCGCCGGGTGGGCTCACCCTGTCCCTATCACCCCCACTCTTTCTCAGTTCTGGATCCTAGGCACCCGCCTGCCCAGCTCTGCACCCAGGAAGTCGTCGGCGGAGAAGTGGTCGGCATCCCAGATCTGCAGAGTGAGTCGTGCGGGGATCTTGTACTCGGTCTCATCCCAGGAGAACATGGACTCCTTCTTGGAGATGACGATCTTTTCTTCAGCTGCCAGGTAGTCGAAGGGGAACAGGTAGCGCCAGTTGAAGTTGCCCTCGCCGGTGAGGGAGTGGTAGTGGACATCCGTGTCCTGCTTGTCCTCCTGCTGGCCCTTCAGCCATCTGTGGGGCACCACACGCTGCAGACCTGAGTGTGGTCTCTCCCCACCTCAGGCCTCCCTTTCCTCTCCCTCCTCTCCTGCCTCCAAGGAAGGTGGGCTCACCCAGGACCCACCCCCGCACAAAAATATCACTGGACTTCTCCCCAGTGAAGAAGTCGT